CATTCGGGTGAGCTGACGGCGAGGCCATGTCCACCACCGCCACCCCACCGCAGTGTGGACTTTTCTGTGTCCCACTGTGGGCTCCACTGTGCCTTGTCGACCGTCAGCATGCTGGCCTGTGCGTCGCCTCCTCCTAACCCTCCTCCTCCTCCTCCTCCTCCTCCTCCTCCTCCTAACCCTCCTCCTCCTCCTCCAGGGCTTTCTCCTCCTCCTCCTTTTCTCGTCATGGGCATGTGGTATATTTCTGGGAGCGGGCTGCGGCTCTGCTTCGCAATCTCTACTCATTCGGGTCGTGACGCGAACGGCACTCGCGCGAGCTCTCAGCGTCAGCATCGAACCATGGGGATGATGCTGCTGCGGAAGAGCAGTAGCGTGCTCTTCTTCAAGGAGCGCGGGAAAAGGGAAGCGGCAATCGTTTCGGCGGCGAGCGAGGCGGGTGACTGAGAGGGAGGAGGCCTTCTCAGAAGGCGGCGGGGCTTCTCAGAAGCCCTCTGGCCTTCTGAGAAGTTCGCTGCATCGTCGGGGAAGGCCCAGACAATTTTTCAAAAGGCCCGAGGCCCTCCGAGCCCCATGAGAAGGCCCGCCTCTTCTGACTTCCCCCCCTGTGCGCGCCGTTGACCATTGCCTCGCACCGCAGACGGCAATGCAAGACGCCCGTCCACACACGAGGCGTTCCAGAAATGGCCTTGCCTTCGAGGATCGAAGGAGTTGTCATCTCCTCCGCCGCGGAAGGCGGCGGAAGGGCGGTGGAAGGCCGGCGGAGGTAAGACGAGGCCGCCTCCGCCGGTGGAAGCCAGCGGAAGGGCGGCGGAAGGCGGCGGAAGTAAAGACTGCGCCCCCAAGAGATGAAAGCCTTTTTGGGTTCAGGGTTTCCAGAATCGGCCACCATTAATCGGGTGTGGACAGGACCCCCACCCTGACACGTCGATTAGTGAATTGTCCGTTTTCGGTTCTCGAGAGGGCGCCGCGGCCGTCATTTTCCAGGCTTGCGCCCGCCAGGTTTGGGTCCGAGGTCGTTTTCACTAAACCACGTTCTGCTAAAGGGGGTTCTGTCCATGCCCGAATTAAACTGTCGCGCAAGCTGCCCGCGTAAGGCCCCGCGTAAAGACGCCCTCGTTCCCAAGCCAGCGTGCTGCGCCGGCGGCCCGTGGGAGCCACCGCGTAAGGTCGCTGTGCCGTCTTGCGTAAGACTCCTTTTTCTTTCGTCGCTCGCATGGCTTCCCATGGAGGAGGAGGAGGAGGAGGAGGAGGAGGAGGAGGAGGAGGAGGAGGAGGAGGAGAAAGAGGAGAAAGAGGAGAAAGGAGGAGGAGGAGGAGGAGGAGGAGGAGGAGGAGGAGGAGGAGGAGGAGGAGGAGGAGTTAGCCACTCCAACTTTTTTGATGCGTGGGCCCCAGAGGTCTGGACCACTTCCCTAGGGCCGGTTTCTCGCCCGCGTCGCCTTTGGACGGTCTCCCGGGCCCAGCGAGGGCCCTTCAGAGGCCGACAGCTGCCCAAAACCGACCGCTCCAGTTTTGTTCGAAGCGTCCGATCTCTGGGTCAGACCTTTTGCTGTTGCTGTTGTTGTTGTTGTTGTTGTTGTTGTTGTTGTTGTTGTTGTTGTTGTTGTTGTTGTTGTTGTTGTTGTTGTTGTTATTGTCATTGTTGTTGTTGTTGTTGTTGTTGCTGTTGCTGTTGTTGTTGTTGTTGTTGTTGTTGTTGTTGTTGTTGTTGTTGTTATTATTGTCATTGTTGTTGATGTTGTTGCTGTTGTTGTTGTTGTTGTTGTTGTGGTTGTTGTTGTTGTTGTTGTTGTTGTTGTTGTTGTTGTTGTTGTTGTTATTGTCATTGTTGTTGCTGTTGTTGTTGTTGTTGTTGTTGTTGTTGTTGTTGTTGAACTCTCATTCTTGAAGAATAATTGTTGTTGATCCCCCCACCAGTGCACATTGATTTTTTTCGATTGAAGTGCCACCCCCGGGGCTCGCACTTTGTTTTTTCTCAAGGAAAATCTTCCTGCTCAAACTGTGCCCCTGCCCCCCGGGCTACAACAACAACGGCTCCCGCCTGAGACTTCCTCGATTTTTACTCAGGACCCCCGCTCCCGCCTGAGACTTCCGCGCAATTTACTCAGGAAAGGCGCTCCCGTCTGAGACGTCCTCGCAATGTAATCAAGACCCCCGCTCCCGCCTGAGACTTCCGTGCAATTTACGTGGGAACGGCGCTCCCGCCTGAGACTTCTTCGAATTTTACTCAGGACCCCCGCTCCTGCCTGACATTTCCGCGCAATTGACTCAGGAACGGCGCTCCCGCCTGAGACTTCCTCGCAATTTAGTGAGGACCCCCGCTCCCGCCTGAGACTTCCGTGCAATTTGCTCAGGAACGGCGCTCCCGCTTGAGACTTCCTCGCAACTTAGTCAGGGCCCCCGCTCCCGCCCGAGATTTCCTCACAATGTACTCAGGACTGCGCTCTCGCGTGCGACGTCCTCACAAATTATTCTGGAATTGCGTTTCGGCGCTCAGGAACCACGCACGCGCCAAGGACGCCTTCACAACGTGGTATCTTCCCTCTTCCTTCGTCCTTCCCCCTCCCCTTCCTCCCACTCTCCCTCGTTCTTCCCCTCCTCCTCTTGCAGGGCCCGCGCCAATTCCAATGGCGGGCAGAGAGATGTACGCCCCCGAAGGATTGTCCGCCCGTTCCGGTTTGCCCGTACGTCTAAGCCCGCCGGCCCCAGCAAAGAGAAATAATCCCCCCGAAAGGGGTGTGATCGAAGACGAAGAGGGCGGGCATCGAGGGTGTAGGGTATACGTGTTGAATGACTCGCGGGCAAGTAAGAGCGCACAGCCTTAAAATGGTTGTTGTTGTTGTTGTTGTTGTTGTTGTTGTTGTTCTTATTGTTGTTGTTGTTGTTGTTGTTGTTGTTGTTGTTGTTGTTGTCGTCGCTCACGTGGTTTCTGACCCCCGCATGCGCAGGGCCGCGCCCGAGGTTGCCCCAGCACGCCTCGGGAGGGCGGGGGCCAGGGTCGGCGCGGCCCCCCCCCCTGACCCGAGAGGAGCGGCTCGCAGCCAAAGGCGGGAGGAGGAGGAGCATGATGATGATGATGATGGTGATGATGATGCTGCTGCTGCTGATGATGCAGATGATGATGACGATGCTGCTGATGATCATGATGCAGATGATGATGATGCAGATGATGATGATGTTGATGTTGATGTTGATGTTGATGATGATGATGATGATGATGATGATGATGACGCTGATGATGATGATGATGATGATGATGATGATGATGATGATGCAGATGATGATGATGCTGCTGCTGATGATGATTCTGCTGATGATGATGATGCTGACGATGATGATGCTGCTGCTGATGATGATGATGATGATGATGAGGATGATGATGCTGCTGCTGATGATGCTGCTGCTGATGATGATGATGATGATGATGATGATGATGATGATGAGAACGACGACGTTGATGACGATGATGGTGATGATGATGATGATGATGATGATGATGATGATGATGATGATGATCATGATGGTGATGCCCACCCCTCTCTGGTGCACCTGGTCTTCTTTTTTAAAAGAAATGCCCTTCCCAGGGCTCGCCCCCTTCTTTTTCAAACATGGGACGAAAGTCTTGAGGCGCAGACTGTGCCCCTGGCACTCGGTTTATCACATCAACCGCTCCCGCCTGATACCTCTCCACAATTTATTCAACATCGCTCTCTCGCGGGAGACTTCTTCACACATTATCTGTTCGTCTCGCTCTCGCGTGGCACTTCCTCGGAATCAACTGACACGCCGCACTCCCAACTCTCAGGAATCACGCTCTTGCTCTGGACTCCCTCGCGATTTGCTCGACAATCGGGCTATCGCTCGAGGCTTCTTCGCGACTCGTGCGGGACCGACGCTTCCGCGACCCGCCCGCTCGACCCGGCCGCCATAGGGCCCGCCCTCCGCCCGCCCAAACCCGCCCGCTATGGGGTCCGCTCGCCCGGCCCGCCCGACTGGTTCTGCCGCCTCGTTTCCCGCTCCCGACAGCCGTCGTGCTCACTCCTCGAAGCAGTTTAATCGTGGTTGGCACGCGGGGAAACCCGCTTCACCCAAATCAGAAGAAGACGATCAACAAGAAGCTGATGGTGCCGACATCCTTCGCCCTCTCCCCGTGTCCCTTTCCTCCTCCCTCCCTTCCCCCACCACCCACCAAGCCACCCCAACCCCACCCGAAGGCCTCGCTCGGCCCTCCAGTTCCAGCGTGTGGCGGGGGGGGGGGGTAGGGAACACTGAAAAAGCACATGGAACCCGTACCCCCCCAACCCGGAATTTGGGTCAGATTCGGGTCTTCGGGTTGGGTTGGTGTGGTCTGGTGGGTAGTAATTCCCCTGTTTCAGGAGCTGCGCCAACTACACATGGCAGGTAAGGAAGATGTACCCCTAAGGGGGGTACATGAAAGCGAACGGTCTGGAAGTGGTTGTTGTTGATGAGGATGATGATGAATATGACGATGACGGTGACGATGATGGCTATACTGGTGATGCTGATGATCTGATGATGATGATGCTGATGCGGATGCTGACAATACTGATGGTTATGACGATGATAATGACGATGATGATGGCGATCATGATGATGATGCTGATGATGATGATGTTGGCGATGCTGATGCTGATGGTGATGACGTCGATGGTTACGATACTGATGATAATGATGCTGATGCTGCTGCTGATGATCATGACGACTTGGATGCTGATTCCGATTCTGGGGATTATGACGATGATGATGATGTTGATGATGGTGGTGGTGGTGTCTATGATGATGATGATGGTGGTGGTGAGGATGGTTATGATCATGGTGACGATGGCGATGACGATGACGATGACGATGATGATGCTGATGATGCTGCTGCTGATGATGATGACGGTGATGATGATGATGGTGATGATGATGATACTAATGGCGATGATGATGCTGCAGATGATGATGATGGTGATGGTGATGATGATGATGCTGATGACGATGACGACCATGATGATGATGATGATGATGATGATGATGATGATGATTATGATGATGATGATGATGATGATGATGATGATGATGATGATGATGATGATGATGATGATGATGATGATGATGATGATGGCGATGATGTCTATGATATGATGGTGATGACGATGACGATGCGGCGAAGATGAATCATGCGCCCCGCCAAAGCAGTATTGTCTCCTGAATTCGCTGGGCGGCTGTTGGGCGCGGACAGCGTTTTGCCCGCCCTAGCGCGGCCCCACTGCGTCGCTTTCGTGCAGTTCCGCGAGCGACGCATGCGCCGCGTGCGCGCGGGAACGCCGCACTTCCAGGCGACATCTGCACGGAGCTCGGGCGAGGGCAGCAAGTCGCCAGCGCCGAGGCGAGATCACACTCCTGTCCGCTCGTGCGTCGATGAGTGCGTGGGTGAAGAATGTGTGCCGCGCCGAAGCCAGAGCTCCATTTCAGGGAAAATGAGCGCGACGCCGAGGCCAGAGCGACATTTCGCCCTCTCGTGCGCGGTGTGCGTCCCAGCCCACTCCTGCCGCTCACTTGGCAGCGCTGACGGCGAGACGTTCATATCAAGAAACTGGGATCGACTGTATGCTGGTTTTCCAGGTACGACAGAAGCACCCAGGTGGGACCCGCATCGACCGGCTCGATGGCCTAGCCGGATCAGATTTCAATCAGGAATAGGGTTGGAGGATGAGCAGAAGGAGTAAACGCAAGGGGTGGAGGAGGAGGAGGGGGAGGAAGGATGGCTCTCCCTCGTCTAGCCGCCTCCCCCTCCTCCTCCTCCTCCTCCTCCTCCTCCTCCTCCTCCACCTCCGCCTCCTCCTCCTCATTCTCCTCCTCCTCCTCCTTCTCCTCCTTCTCCTCCTTCTCCTCCTTCTCCTCCTTCTCCTCCTCCTCCTCCTCCTCCTCCTCCAGCCGCCGCCACGGCTGAAGGGCGCGGGACACGCGGCCCTCCTACCCTGTTCATCGCCCGCCAGGGGAGCAGCGCGCGATGCCCACTCGCCCGCGGGGCCCAAGAGGCCCATGATGGCGGCTCTCCTCTTGCTCGCGGCCGTCGGCTTCTCGCCGCGGGCGGCCGCCCGCACGTCGACAGGCGCATGCCGCGCCCTCGGACGCACTCAGGAGCGAGAGCCGCAACCCGCCCAGCACACCAGGCTCTACGAGTACATCCCTCTTTACCTGACGGGCAGCACCCGCGCGCAGGAGTTCACCCACGAGTACTACATGGGCGAGATCCTCTTCCCTGGGATGAGCCGCCGCCCGACACTGGACGGCCGCCACAGCCTCTTTTAGCACGACTACCACTGGGAGCTCTCCTTCGGCTGGACCAGCAAGAACTTCGGGGGGAGCATCTTCCTACATCAGCGGCTTCCGCAGGCACACCTACGTCTGATCTACCCTCCGCCCGCGGCGCTCTCGGGCCGCTGCGGCGCGACAGGGCCGCTCCTCGGACGTGCTCCTCATGGTTCGGGACCTGTCCGTGCCATCCGAGTCCTACTCATACCGCCAGGTGACCCAGGCTACGACCTCGTGGGCGCGCACCATGATGGAGTCTGTGGGCAGTCGTCGCACGCCCTTCAGCGAGGCGGACCTCAGCTCGGCGACTCCGTGGACGAGACGTGTCTCGGCTCCTCGTCCCTGCTCGTGCCCGACTTGTGGAGCGAGGTCGACAGCGCCGTGGGCACCTTCCTGGAGCTGGAGGGCCTCTCTGGACGTCTTTGGCAACGGTTCCTCTCGGACCACGACGCCTTCTTTGTCAGCGGGGACACCCTCTTCGGGAAGCACGGACGATCACGCAGGATCGAATTCTTCTACGCCCCGTCCGCCCTGGAGTCCCACACGCGCCAGTGCAAGGCCCCCATGGGAGCAGGACGCCGCCTCAACATATTGTACGACCGAGACCACCGCTCCGTCTACGCGGGCGACATCTTCGAGGCCCACGCGCTGTACACCTGGGACTACGACACGATCATACTTCGTCTGGAGGGCGCCCTGATGTCGCGCGACCTGCAGCAGGCGGTCACTTTCCTCCCCAAGATGGTGCGCCTGCACGCCCAGTTGCTCAGGGACCTATCGGACTCGGAATGGATCAGCATCGGGACCACGCCCACGGCTACATCGATCGTCGCAGCTCGGGGAGCGGGCAATATGTACGCAGAGGCGGCGCAGTTCCCCGAGGCGAAGCCCCAACTTACCACATTTGTACCTCGCGCGCGCCGAGTTCAAGTACCCGTCGGCCTTCGTGGTGCAGGAGGCCCCGCAGGGGCACGGGCTCCCGCGTACCTTCCACCAGCAGTTCGTTTGCACGGAGACGGGCTCGGAGCTCTTTTCCACCTCAGGCTGCGCACGCGCCACTACGACGAGTACACCAGGAGGCAGTTCGCTAACGCGGACCAGATCACACTGAAGAGCGTCAACCCAGACGGCCCTCGGGAGACTTGTCTCGACGTTCTGGGCGGCCGCCAGAAGATGGGG